GAAACTTAAAGTTTTAGAGAGCATATTAAAATTTTAGAAAGAGAGAATCTATCTCAAATCTTGAATTTTAGAGAGAGAAAATATCTTCAAATTTTAGAGAGATAAACTACATTAACAGGAAGTTAGGGGGAGGAAGAAGGAACTTCCCCATTACTATACAAGTTTCGTGTTTGATGCACGAAACTTATATAGTAAGGAAGTTCCCCCTAGAATTTTCTTACTCCCTTGTGCTTAAGAAAAGAAGTTCCATCTAAAATGATGGGACTTAAAATAGGAACTTGGTTTTCTTGGTTTCCTCAAACCATATTCTACCTTCTTCCTTATATTTATATTTATATTATTAATTTATATTTGTATTTGTATTATATTATATTATATTATTTTATATGTATTACAAAGATATATAAATAAAATAATTTATTATATTATATATTCTATATAATACAAATATATATTAATAAAATAAATATAAAATACATTATATATATATTATATTACTTTATATATAATATATTTTTTGTATTTTAGTGTATAATGTACATTATGTTTTATTTGTATAATAGATATTTATAATATAATATATAATAAAAATATATTAATATATTATATTATTAAATTTATATATTTAAATTATTATTATATTAGGACCCGATTTTTTATGCGGCCAAGCCCTCATATGTAGAAATGCGAGCCTCTTAATCAATCTATCTTTTAGATGGATTATAGGATTTAATTTTTTAAGAACATATAATCTCTAACATGGAGATCACGAATATAAAATAAATAAATAAAATTTAAAAACTAGAAATAACAATTCTAATGAGAAAACTTTAGACCATTAGTTCTATTGTTTTTAGATAGAACACCTACTTGCAACCATCTTTAAGATGGATGATTTCCACTTACTAGACCGCATATGTAGAAATGTGGTCCAGCCCGCATGAAACAATTTTTCATTATATTATGTTATAATATATAACCTAATATTATATATACATATATTTAAATACATTATGTTATATATTATATTATGTTGTATATATCATATATAATATATATTTATAGGAAAACTTTTAAAAACGCCTATAGGCGAAATTGAATAATGTTTCGTCTCGCCACAGACATGCTATATTTGTTGTGGTTTTGCCTTAAAAACCGTCACAAATCTATAGGAGCCGTGGTGGTTTTCCGTATTTTTTTGCATAAAAAAATAGTGCCACAGATATGTTATGTCCGTTGCGGTACCACAACGGATATAGTAGGTCCGTTGCGATCTTTTAATCCACACGTCTAAAAAAATTGGATGGCGCCGAGCTTATGGGCGAAAACACTGTTCATTTTCGCCCATAGACTTTGCATAGTGGCTTCCATATTTATATATTATACATTGTAATATTATAATATAATATTATTATGAATTATACATTAATTTTTATAATATTATTTTTAAAATAATATTATAAATATTTATTATATATTATTCTTTATTCATTAAACATAATAAGTATTATATAAAATAAAACAGAGGGACGTATATATTTTTAATATAATATTATTATAAATTATATTATAATTTTTGTGATAATCTTATAAATATTATATTTTTATTATTCTTTATTTTTTAAATATAATTAAGTATTATATATCAAATAAGTTAGAGGGGCGTATATAATCATTGTTTAGCCCTCTCATAATCAGTAACCCCAATATTTTGATTTTTTTTTTTTTTTTACAGAAATTATCGACTTTTATTACTGCAAAAATCAAATTACATCATTGAGAAAAGAGATAGAATCAAGTAAGACACCACGCTTGGCCAACCCATCAGCCAACATATTGATTTTCCATATTATTGAATCACGTTATTATGAAAATCTTCAAGACCTTATAAAAACATAATAACTACCATTGATATCCTCTAAGAAATGTTTTTTATTTAAGTGTGCATTAAGCACCATTGTCTTTTAATTCTGCCCCACCATCTCTGAAGAATCCACGATATCCTTAGAAAGAAGGAAATATAATGATAATAATCCTATAATCATACTTATAATTACTAATTATTATTAATATTGCTAAAACCTCAAAATTTAAACGAAAATTGACGAAAAATAACATAAAACATGCGCATGAATTATTATTATTTTTTGACAATGTTACTAAAGCTGTATTAATCAATCAAAGGTTAGACCCAATCAAAAAGGGAAAACATCCGAAATAAACAAATTCTGAATAGACACCCCTCGTTTTGCCAATCCATCGGTAATGTCATTAACCTCCCTATACACATGTTGAAATGAGATTTGGAGACTCACACATATCCATAATATTTAGCCATTTCCTCCTCAAGCTCCATGGTGGTCTGGATATCTTATTGCACCAATTTATCACATTCAAATAATCCCCTTCTATAATGCATGCCATTTTGATATTCTTCTTACTCACAATCTGAACTCCACACTCTAACGCAGCCAATTCTGTTTCAATAGCCGTTACCTCCCCACGTGCATCTCGCAAAATTCCTCCAACTTCATATAGGCCTGGGTTTCCTAATGAGCTTCCATCGAAGTTAAGTTTGATACTCCCTAGCATAGGTAAGCTCCACCTACCTTTTGGTCTCACTTTCATTACTTTTTGAAGCATCAAATTATGCAAATTAATCTCAACATCTGTTTTGGCCACTCCAAACCCTTCCTTTGTCATAGAGAACTAACTCTAGAGCTTTCTTATCAAATGTCCTCCTATTGCGCTCCATCTAGATCTTTCTTTTAACCAATTCCACCTCTAGAGCTTTCTTATCAAATGTCCTCCTATTGCGCTCCATCTAGATCTTTCTTTTAACCAATTCCACCTCTAGAGCTTTCTTATCAAATGTCCTCCTATTGCACCTCTAGACCTTTTTTATCAAATGTCCTCCTATTGCGCTCCATCTAGATCTCTCAAAGAACAGCTGCTCATACCATCTCCCAAATCATCTTGCCCACCATTGGTAAAGAATCCAACTCCATGCTACCCAAAATATTCATATGACTACTCGGCACCACTATCATATGTCCAATTTTTTGAAAACCCATATCCAGATGTGAGAAGAGAAAGTACAATGAAGGAAAAGATGATCTCCATTCTCATCATTTTCCTTACAAAGAATGCAAACATTCATAATAATCTTGCCCCTTTTTATGATCTTATCCACAGTAAGTGACTTTCCTTGGAACAAAATCCATAAGAAAATTTGAATTTTGAAAGGGACCTTCCAACACCATATTCTCTTCAATAATAGCCTACTCTCTACCGAATCCTGTCATAAAACAACAAACTGTATGCTGATTTAACTGAGAAAATACCGTCTTTCTCAGCCTCCCAAACCAACTCGTCTTCCCTCTCTCTGTGCAGCATATACCCATGAATATCCCCAAGCAATGAAGTATATTGATCAATCACTGAGTCCGAAGCTCTATTGTACCTGCAGTTTAAAAACCAAACATTTCATCCCAATCAAAGGTTTGAGATGCCATGATATCTTGTTGATTTGTCGCTCCAAAAACCTGCAGATATGCTGATTTCAAACAACAATCTCCCACTCACTTACTATGCCAAAAAGATATCTTTCTCCCATCACCCAAAATCCACTTATAACGACCAATCATGAAAAACATGTTTTGAAGAATTCCTTTCCATATCTTGTTTTAAAAAACATTCACATGAAATTGGAATATATCTTGTTTCTTTCACTTTTTTTGGTAGTTACGAATATAACTGGTTGGCTTCTTGCTCATTTACCTCATACACTTAAATATCTACAATAAGTTGAACAGTACTCATCAACCCAAAAAATCATAAATAGAAAATGCAAAATCCTATCGCAATAAACAAATAAAGAAGTTAAAAAGAAAAAGAGAGATGAAAAAGAAATGAAGAGAGAGAGTGAGATGAAGTCATGGAAAGAGGAGAGAGAGCGGATAGGTCGTCGAGGAGACATAGGTAGTGGAGAAGAGATAGAATGAGAGGATGTCATGGGGAGGAGAGAGAGAGATGAACAGAGAGGAACTTGTGAAAAGAGATGAGAGAGAAATCAAATTTACTTCTAAAACTTCTCAATCACAATCAACTGTCAAATCCCCTTGATTCTCTCTAAGATAATGTTAGATACTTTTGTGAGCCTCTCCTACTCTCTCTCATCTTTATCCGAATAAATCTCAATGCCTATTGTGTAATTTGCTTTGCTTAAAAAATAGGCAAGACAATCCAAATCGAGTAAGGGAATTGAATACAATTAAGATGGACAGGTTTGACATTCCTTTGAGCAGGCTCCAAATTTTCTAATATCAACTTCTAGGTGATCTTTTGCCATCTCCCTAAGCCGATGCTAAATCAGCTAAACTTGGACAGGGCATGCATTTTCGCCGATGCTAAATCAGCTAAACTTGGACAGGGCATGCATTTTCGTTAGCACGTCACGCAAAGAGAAGACTTTTTCCTTACAAATAGAAAACAATATTTGAGTTCTAAAAGTGGGAATCATGACTTCACGAAATCTCTAATAGTATAAATAAAATGGGATTGTATATAATGAAACCATTTGCCTTTGATACAAAGAGATCACAATTACTTAGAATCATCTAATGTGAAATCTCATACCTTGAATGTCACAAAATTCGAAAAAATTTCTTTTGAACTTTAAATTTAATTCATGAAATAAATACAACCACTCAATTTTACATCCAATGGTCAAAATTAGTTGTACCACCTTGTACCAAAAATAAATAATCTCATTGTATACTTTTCCAAATAAAATATAAGATTGTCTATAAAAATGCGATTTATATTTTGTAAATGGAGATCACACCATTCTTATCCCTTCAATTTCAAACACAAAGTCTGAGAATATTATGTTTGAGCTTCTCAAATCCTCTTTCAAGCTTATCTCACTAGAGAACGTTGCACTTCACTAGCACAAAAAGGATATAATAATTTTCTTGGTGACAATTTCCAAAAAGAAGTGGACCCAATACCTTTAAAATTTCAAAAAACTGCCTTCTGAAGAAATTACAAAGACATGCTCATTCCAAAACTACCCCAAAAATCTATACCTACCTACTATAATGAGTCTAGGTTCAGATTAGAGCTGCTTATACTCGAAGATCGCATTCTTCAAAATGCTGTTTTTTGCCATGATTGTTGAAATAACGCACCGATGACTGTTTGAACAATCCATGCATAACCACAAAATTCCAGTGGCATTGGTCCCAAATCGCTTGAATCCGAAGACCCCAAAATGTAACCAAAATCAAAAGTAGGGATTAAGTCGAGCAGTCTTGATCCTCCACACAAAATCAAATTACAAACTAGTGTCTTGTCTCTCTTTTTCTGAGGAGCTAGACTCCATCTCCAAAACCCAAAGTACACCAGGCAATTTTGGATGAAGAGAGAAAATAAACTAGAAGGAACTCTTTGATTGTATGCCCCAGAACCACCCACATGTTCTTCATCCTCAATCTATTCTTCCTCGTCTTCTTTCCCTTCGTCCCCACAATCTTCTTCCTGCTCATCCATATCTTCTTTCTCTGTGTGCCCACCCTCTTCTGTTTCTTCACCTTTTCCTTCGCTTCCAATCACGTTAGACTCAGGCTCTTCTTCACTCTTCCTTTTCTTGTTCGTTTCTTTGGACTTTTTGAATGCCTTCTTCTTCCTGAAGTCTGCATAATCAACAGACAATATTATAGATGCCACTATGTGTTTATTTTCTGTTGGGGTTTTGGAGAGGGGGGGGGGGGAGGAGAGAGAGAGAGTACATGAGTAAACATACATATTTCTACATGTATATGTACGCCATCATATATTAATTTTTAGACAAGGTCACCCTGCTCGATGTGAATTCATTCTGAATTCATTCAGATACTACCGTATTTAGCTTACTCAAAGTGTTATGGTTGAATATAAAATGAACCATTGGATAACTCACCTCAAGCAAATAACCAAGTTATTTCAGAGACGACGCTTGTGCAGATTCATTAGTTTATATCTTTTCATCACAAGCACTTTCTCTAGCCCCACATCCGCTCCATCTACCATGATATTAACAGGGCCATGGATATGGCAAGAAATTTATTCCTTTGAATTTCTATCAAACATTTTGAGAATGATTGCCACTTTATCCAGAATATGGTGCCACTGGGTCAAGTGACAAAAACACACTCTATTTCATAACTAGGACAATAAATTTTACCAACATATAAGCTACCCATGCACAAATAGTGTTTTCAGCCAAGGCGCCCAGATACAGGTGCATTACAGACACGGATATGAAGAACAGGGATACAACTTGGCATTGCTAAAAATACAAGATAAAGACAGATAATAGTATCCGATCCCACACACACAGTGTAGCATGTATAGTATAGGAAAATATTACATCCAACACTTTGTTACACATACATATCATATCATAATGCCTAACATTAAAATTTATTGAAATTCTTCTTTACAGTTTGAGTCATTTCACGCAAAAGTATCCTAGCAGCATTTGGTATCAGTATCAATATGACACTGGCACATTACACATATACAAGTAGTAGTGCATCAAAAATTGAGTTTTATATATATATATATGGAAAAACCTTAAAAACACCTAACGGCAAAATGCTACAGTGTTTCGCCACCGCCACGAACTTGCTATGTCTGTGGCGGTTTATTGAACAGACCCGACAACGCGCCGTTTGTTGCAGGTCCGCATGATTTTTTGACCGTCAATGGACCTAGTATGTCTGTGACGGTACTGCCACAAATATGCTAGATCTGTGGTGGTCGAAAAACGCACGCTGCCCCATTTTTTCGGACAGTGATGAGTCTATAGGCGAAAACACTGTTCATTTTTGCCCATAGGCATTGCGTAGTCTTCTTTTATATATATATATATATATATATATGGGAAAATATGGGATTAACCCACAAGCTCATATGAACATATGAGCCCAACGGCTCAAATTGAATCTAGAGCAATCTAACGATCACGGATGTCTGGTAGTGATTGATTTTTTTTTTTTTATATATATAGATCCAAATCACTTGAAATTTTAGGTGGGTGTTCTTCTCATTAAGACGCACCTAATAAAAATATAAAAAAAATTATTCGCGAAGAACAAAATGACCAAAATACCCTCTGAAACTTGTCGGGGGTATTTTGGTCAGTTTATTTCATGTAAAATATTTTTTTTGATATTTTTCGAAGATTCACTTATTTTTTATAAATACGTGCCTAAAATTTCAAGTGATTTGGATTTGTAGAAAAAAACCTAAAATTCAAACACTACCGGACATCCGTGATCGTCAAATCGGCCTAAAATCAATCTGGGACATTGGGCTCATATGTTCCTACGAGTTAGTGGCTTAATCCCATCTTTTCCCTATATATATATATATATCGAGAGAGAAAGAGAGAGAGAGAATGGTGCAGATCCATCTGAATTTGCTGCCATGGAAAAGGTATCCTGAAATGCATATAGAGCAAAAGTCCAAAAGTAAATAACTAATAAATTTTTCATTCCAAAAGCAATTTATTAAGAGAGTATTCAACAAGTGCAGTTTCTTTTCCTATACCTACTTGACACCATCCATCCAGCAGAAGTGAACAAGGGATGGCTGGGGTGTGTCGTTCCTCCACCCAATGTCCATTAATCTACTATTGAGCATCGAATGGTTGGGGCAATGTCAAGGGAGTGTAGGAAATAATACTGATCTTAGTAATGCAATTATCTTAAAAATCTTTCCCTTTAGAATAGTGAAAAAAATTGCCACTCAAATTAAAAAATTCATATATTATCTAAAAAGCCTTAAAACCTAGATTCATTGATTGAGAAGGAACTGAGAAAGAAAAAACTGTAGATTTACCGTCAAAAGAGACTCTAAGAAGAGTAGTATTACCCTCAAAGAACTTGTTTTTCGATACTAATATACTGAGAAGGAACTGAGAAACTAAAGTACAGGTAAATACCTTCCAGAGAAACTCTTAGGGGCTCTGTGAACTCAGGGAAATCAATTTCCTCTAGTGCTTTGAAAACATCCTCGGCATTAATTGTCTGTCGCTTTGATTCCTGACATATGTCATTTGCCCTGCAAATCATATGCACATTCAAATCCACTTCTCTGTTGTTGATTGGTTTTTTGTCCAAGAGTAAAGTGTGGGATTAAAAGAAAAATGATAGTCAAACATATAGCTCAAGCTTTCAAGCTTAACCACCTTGCTTCCCATTAAAATTTTCAGAATATGACTACTAAAGAAGCAATTATAAATGTTTCACTGACCTCTTTAAAATTGTTTATACATGATACTTTGTGCGACAGTTTTCTTATCCATTAAAATGTTGAACAAGATTCAAGCCCAATTCTGCAAGTTATTTAATTGCCCTTGGCTACATGCCATCAAAGCAATTTTGTGTTCTCCAATTAGCACCAGGATTTAATCCAAAAGACCCTTTCAAAATTTTCTAAAGATACTGAAATACTCTTTCTTTTTTATATCATAAATGCTATGATGTTTTGAAAGATGACTGTGGTACCAACTACGCAGCGCACAACTTCATAGAAAAGATAGAGAACAAGACAGAGTCCTTGTTTGCACGCTTTAAAAGTCTAATCGTTTGAATACCAAAAGATGAAACCAACATAAAATGTGTTATTCCTTGAAGACAATAAAAAGAATGTTGTTGCAGTGGTACTCGAATCTGCACAAATCAATAAAACCAGTGATTAAAAACCTGGAATCAGGCTGAGACTCGCCAGGGTCCTGAGCCCGAAGCAGCCACCGACTCAGCTGAGTCAGCAGTCCGCCTCGGCAAATTTGGTGGTCAGATTCAGCCAAGTCTCTGTGAAAATAAACAGAGGGGTTGCGACCCAATGAGACCCACCCAAGTCCCAGTGTTTTTTATCTGGACAGGGCATTGTGCTGGGTCTAAGTAACTTAGGCAAGTCCAAGCCCCAAGTCACCAATTTCTTGATCACTGAACAATGAATTTGGTTATTATAAAAAATGAGCATTGAAAAAAATATTTCCTTGAAAATTGTTAAGAAGAAAAAGGAAAAGACAAAAAGAATATCTAAGATAAAAGATAAAAGCCAAAATGGATAAATCTCAAGAATTCATTGTACTAGTGTTTGGGGACTGAATTCAAGGCCAAAGAGCTGTCATGCCATCATTACAACTAAGATTTGGTTATACGTTTTTTGAGAATGGAGCAGTGCACAAAGAATATGAAGCCGATGCAGAACCATCATTATCGAAGTCCTCCCCATTGGATGGAAAACCTTCTATAATTGCATGGCGAGGACATTCAGTGGAGACAGGCCTTGAAAATTAGTGTTTAAGGACCGACTTTGAGGCTGGAGAGCTGCCATTCTATGAATTATAACAAAGAATGGTTATATATTTTCGATAATGAAGCATTGCACAAAGAATATGCAGCCAATGAAGAACCACAATTGTTGCAGCTCTTCACATTAGATCGAAACCTTCCAAAAATCATACAAAACACCCACTTTGCAGAAAAATTTTGCATAAATTAGAAAGTATTGAGCATCCCAAGATAAATGAACACTCTTGAATTCTCAATGGTATAGGCAAAAGAGATGGACACTCCTTCAAATGTTTTAAATTTTAAGGATAGCATTTTTTTCTGAAGGCAATAATTCAATCACTCTTACACTGTCCTATTGGGTCTAATGAGGCTTTTCAATTTCACAATGGGGTAAACCTGCCTCTATGGGGGCACTGTTGGAGTAACGGTGATCTCCACCAATGCCCATCATTCTTTGGAGACGTCCTTGGTGGTTGTGCCATGGTTACTATGGCTAGAGAGGAGGAAAATGTGTTTCAATGACAAAAGGAGCAAGGTGGATAGAATATGGGAGCAGATTAAGATGACAATATGGCCATGCACAAGATCAAGAAATGAATTTTGGAGGTATGAGATCTTGAAACATGGTGGAGGGAGATTTCAAGAGCCTCGAAAGTGGTGGTTCTGCGACCTCAAAAGGTTCCTATGGCTTCGCATGCGTCCGAATTCAATGTCTAGAATATCGGCATGCACAAGATCAAAAATTTAACTTTGATTATTGTTCAAAAAGGCGGACCACCCAGCGCCTAGGCAGTCCAGAAGGCCTGGACGCATCGCCCAAGCCTAGGCAGCCAAACTAGGCGGCAGTCCCTGGGTGACTGCCCAAGGCCTAGGGGCGAAAGTTTTTTTTTTTTTTTGTTCTATTGATTTTTTTTTAAACATAAAGGCTTTTAGGGATAGATTTTAGGTTCATTTGAAATGTAACCCACAAGAACCCATTTTAGAGAGAAAAAAAACTCAAAAAAACTAAATTTTGTGATTTTCATTGAATTGATGTGTTTCTCAAAGTTACGAAAACGGATCCAAACATCACCCATGTAGATTGGATTTAGTTTTGGAGTTTTATAATTCTATTAGAGGATGTTTTTTATTATTTTAGCACCTGAGAACATCTCAGAGGTGGGAGTTTGGAGTTCGAGCAAGCAAAGTAAGTGCAAAACTTTACTTTTTAGATTGCTTGCTTTATTTTGAGATGTCTTCTTTAGGATTTAGTCGAAGTGAAGATCCGGGTTGGAAATATGGATATAACCTGAATCCAAATGACAAAAATTGCATTAGATGCAATTATTGTGAAAAAGATACAAAAGGGAGCATAAACCCGTTTAAGAAACATCTTGTCGGTATTAAGGGGGATGTTGCCCCTTGTAAAAATGTTCCTAAAGCTATCAGAGAGGAGATTAAGCAATATATGAGTTCTGTAAAACAAAAACAGAAACAAAATCCTTGTTATTTGAATAGATCTATTTCTGCTTCTTCTAGAAGAAGTGATCCGGGTTAGAAATATGGTTATAACCCAAAACCAAACGATAAAATTTGTATAAGATGTAATTTTTGTGAAAAAGATACCAATTGGGGTATTAACCGATTCAAGAAACACCTTGCTGGTATTAAAGGGAATGTTGCTCCTTGTAAAAAAGTTCCTGAAGCTATTCAGGATGAGATTAGACAATTTCTGAATTTAAAAGAATAAAAAAAAGATGAAAGTGAGCCTTGTTCTATGGAAATATATTCTCCAAGTTCTTTTAGAAAGGGTGATCCGTGTTGGAAGTATGGCTATAACACGAATCCAATTGACGAAAATTATGTTAAATGTAATTATTGTGAAAAGGATACTAATGGGGGCATTTACCTGTTTAAAAAACGCGTTGCCGATATTAAGGGGAATGTTGCCCCGTGTAAAAATGTTCCTAAGCCTACCAGGGAGGAAATTATATAATATTTGAGTTTAGGGAAGCACAAAAAAATAGAAAAGGGTAAAGCAACCAAGACTCCTAGGGCCTCATTTGCACATACTAGTAAGAGGGAGGTAGAAAAGGAGGAGGAAGATGCATATTCAAAAGAAACAAAGGAGGACCAACGTTATATTGAAGAGGGATATGACTCTGATGATGATGGCCTTGAATTTGATGCATATGATAAGACTTACCCTATTCCTTCTGATGATGATGATGACTGAAGACTCTTGGTGTTGGGCGTTGAGTGTTGTGCTGCGTGTCGACTGTTGAGTGTCAACGATTCTGTCCTAGAATATATATTTTCTAAATTTCTGTATATTTCTTTTTCTTATTTTTAGTTTTTACTTACTAGTTTCTAGTTCTGCTATCTAACTTTTGTGTGTACAGTCTACAATGCATCAAACTATCAGTGTATGCTTGTATGGTTATACTATTTTAGCATTGTATGAAAAATGAAAATATGGATTATGGTCTCTTATGGATTATCAAAATTCTCTTCTCAACTTCTTCTTTTTTTCAACTTGGATTATGGCCTTATAGATTATCAAAATTCTTATAGATTATGGTTTTATGGATTATTAAAATTCTTCTGGATTAATCATTACCTTACTATCTTTTCTTTTCTTTTCAACTGGGCCACCCAGGTTCTGAGCGCCCGCCTAGGCGACCGCTTAGGCATTGGGCGGCCTGGACCCCCATGGCCACCTGGGTGCCGCCTAGTGCTTTTTGAAGCACTGATTTTGATAATTTTCAATGTGTAAGATGTTGAATATGGTGGATGGGAATTTCCAGGGCAAAGGTACCAAAGCGAGTTGGTCAGAAAGTAGACTCCAAGACTAGAAGACTAGGCGCAGCTAAACTTAGACGGCATCCGAAAGGGAATCCTATACCAACGGCATTTGTGGTGCGTTGAGGGGCCAAAACAAGTTTGTGCTCATGACCTCTCAAGGCCTTGCAATTCTAATGAGGTTGGTTCTTGGTTATTGTTATTCACTTATTCAAGCATAGAAATATAGCGTCTCGAAGGAAATCAGGGTTCATTGAGGGAGACTTCAGCAATGCTAGAAGTTGGGGAAGTGGTAAGGAGAAATGTCCTTACATACTTCCACCGTATTTGTTGGGAATCCAATGAGGGGACCGACACATTTGCTACAGGAGTATCCAATCAACACTTGTGGTGTGGTGACATGGTTCTAAAGGGATAGAGTACATAGGTGAAGTCCTAGGTAAATTGACTGAGCATTGTAAGTTCAGGAGTTACATTCGGGTAAACATGTTAATCAATTTTGATTATTGGAAATTCACATTCAAGAAAAAGAAAAAACTTTTTAAGAGCCAGTAATATGCTAAACTTTTCCACAGTTATGTTAAAATATTTTGTCATCTTCCATGTTTCTGAACACTCCTTTACGAAAGAGCACTCAACATGGAACTTTATATGAAATATTTGTTAGGTACAAAAAGGTTGGCTAACATTTTGAAGACATTTTAAAAGAACTAGGGGTTATGCAGTTCTTTTTCCATTTTCCTCAGAGAGAAAACTAAAAATATCCCATGTTTTTTCACACGGATTGTTTTATGCGCTGATCTGCTAACTATCACAAAATTTTCATGGCCACCAGAATATAATAAAATTAAACCAACTCTCTCTCTCTCTCTCTGACCATATACACTCTCACTGATAAGACCATATGCCCTCTCACTTATACGAATAGCACAAACCTAGAAAGTTAAAAACCCTAGCTGTATTTCACAGCGGTCATAAATAGATAACCAACATATAAACTAGAGCATTCAGGGGAAAAAAAAATCATCATCAGCATCAAAGCAGCCTTTTCCCAACTAATTGGGAAAGGCTGTGAATCCTAATTTGCCATTTTGAGCCTTCCACTTGGACTAACTCAAGTGTCCTAACAGATATTGCACTGGGTTTGCACTGCATATGGTGAGCCCACCGAAGTCTATTTCTCTCATCTTATTACCGGAAAAAAATAAAATAAGACTGAAAACAATTGCATAAACTGGAAACTAATCAGTAAACCCTAAATACAGAGATTAAGCATCGACAAGAAGACGGAAAAAATATACTGAAACTAAAAAAATAACACTGATTAGGTAGAATCCTTCACCTAAAACGTAAATTTGATGCACGGTAAAAGGCTTACGTCGCAGAGAGGTAATGGATGAAGATGCGAGCACTTTCTGAGAAAGCAGAGAGAGCTTCATTGCTGATGTTGACGTCCTTTGACGGCTCATCATCCACTTTTGATAGATAGCTCAGCTTCTCTTTCACCATCCTCTTCACTATTGACCTTGGCAGCTCATCCACCTCCATTTCTTCTTCCTCCTCTTCTCTCTCCTCTCTTTCTCACGGCCTCACGTCTCTACGGCTCCTCTGATTTCCCTCTCTCTCTCTTTCTTCTCCGCTCTCTCTGCTTTTGGGGGTTTAAATGGGAGGGAACAGGTGAGGGGAGGCTCCCGCCTTCGTTTTTTGCGCGCCTAAATGCCCGTGAAGAGATCATAATGTCGGAACAACCCCTATTGCAAACAAAGCGTGACACTTCCAATCTTGTTTCACGGATGCATGGAGTAGATCGTCCCTTTACGACGAGTCCTAGTTAGTATAGGCCAGATGGTATGGCGATCCTGATCTGGCGAATCTGTTGTTTAGCAAGCAACAAATAAATAAAGTAACAGTGAAAAATATCACATGATCGTTTTATAATTTAAGAAATAAAATATAAAAAACAATTTTTTTCCTAATGATAGAAGGTTTCTAGGGTTTTCACATTTAAAGGGTTGAATTGACTTGTTAGAATCAAGAGGGTGCCTACCTATTTTTTATCTAGAATGGCGATCCGCAATTCTCGATCCGGATTAGCGATTTTTTCCTTTCAATTGTTCAATGATAACAATGAACATGACATGGGACAAAGGATTTTTAAATCACTTCTTCAACCCAATATACCATTTGTGCACATGACAGGTGCCCACTAGTATCATTAGGATATTGTAGGCAATTAAATTGGTAAGAGGCTGGTCAAAATCATTCATCTCATTCATCAAATTAATTGAACTCGATTTTTAAAATAAAAGATATAAGAATAATAATTTAAAAATAGGTATTATTTTATAACAAGTTACCAAACTATTTAGTTAGTCTAACATGTCAAAACTTATCACTCGATTGTTCAAAAATAGTCAAACATTGATTTAACTAGTTGTTGGTCTATCGCGATTTTTTTATTTAGACCAAAGAGGGCTTGCACTAGTCTGTATCTAACCAATCAATAAGCTTGTCTAATTTGGTTGGCAAGGGGCTAGATAGCCCGGCCTTGCTCATATGAAACTAGGTCGTGGGCCACAAATTTTGGTCTTAGGGTTGGGCTAGTTCTAGCCACCATGATTCAAGGGTTGGGTCAGGCATAGCCAAGGTTAGGGCCACAACAGGGCCGCCCTGGCTAGGTCCTGTTTGGCCTGGTTTTTTCTTTATTTTTTTCCATCTATTTTTTTGAGTGTTTTACTCCTAGCCCAGGCTAGAGGGAAGAGGGCTAAGCATAGTATGGCCCAGGGCCTCTTTGGCTTAATCAGGACCGGGCAGCTCTAATGCTGTCCCTGTAGGGACTAGCGTTGGGCTAGGGCAAAGACTGGCCCAACCCATTGCAAGCCCTATTGATAACCATAGTATTTATAGCCTCTAGTCTAAGATTGGCACTTTTAATAGAAAGAGAGTGTTGATTGTAGAGCAATTAAGTGACATCTTCGGATGGAGCCCCCGACCCGTAGTAGAGGAAGGAAGGAGCCCCCGACCCGTAGTAAGAAATAAATACAAAACGTCATATCGTGGCACCTATCACCCAAACACATATGCCTTGAGTCCATTTCTAAGTCCCTATGGTAGTTACCAAACAAGAAGTATTATTTGGCTCCAAAATTTTGGGATGTATTTTCTTCAACCCAAGATCCAACCTCAAAAAAAAAAACAGGACCAAAAGCCAAAAAAAAAAAAAGCTTGAAAAATTAATGTCTTAGGATTAGATCAAAGCAATTCAGGCACCGGTCTGCAGTCTGATTGGTCAGGTCGGCCTATCCAGTCTGGCTAGATGGCCTAGCCTAAACCAAACCTAAAAACCTGGGGCTTGGGCTATGAAATCTGGCCTTAGGGTCGGCGCACCTTGGCTCGAGGGCTAGATCAGGTCGGGCCAGGGCTAGGGCCACAATAGGACTGGCCTTAGCTAGGCCTTATCCGGCCATGCTTTTTCTTAATCTTTTCCTCCATAGTTTTTTGAGTGTACTAAGACTGGTTAGGCTCATCTCTAACAGGTACAGAGCATTGCTTGGACCTTGACCTCAGCTACGTCAGCCCCAGGCTTAGCTAGGGCTGGTGCCATAAGGACTAGGGCTGGGCTAGGGCCAAGATTGACCCGACCTAGCCCCGACCCATTTGCATGAAAGAAAGACTTGCGATCTTGCCGAGGAATTTTTTTTTTTTTTCTTTCTTTTTACCCTTTTTCATTTCATTTGGAAAAGATCACTTACAAGTAGTCTTATTACAATAATTTTTGCTTCAAAGAAAATAAAACTAACAAATCCAAGATCTTAAAAACATTGATGCCATTAAACTAATTTTCTTTAAACAAATAAAATATCCACAATTCTTATGCTTAGGAATATAAATACAATATAATTAATTATGATAAGAAACAAAAAAAGAGTGTCGGAGATTACCTCAACCGGACTTATTACACCCCACACCGAGTCACCATCATCCAATGGCGTGCGATCAATGATCAACCTTCAATCTCAACCAGGAAAGCAAGTTTAGGCCAAGCCACACCAATAGAACATGGATCGCTTTGATAACAAACTCAAACTCTTGATAAATTCCCTTAGCAACCTAGTTTGAGAGAGATGGATTCTCTTTTTTCTAAACCCTAAAACCCTTAGTCATAAATCCATAATTGAGAGACAGGAGAGATAAGAACTCCATAACCTAAACCCTTAGGTTCTTTCATAATGTGAGAGAGAGAGATCAAAGAGATGAGAGAGTGAGACGTGCCCCGTTTTTTTGCTTTCATGAGAGAGAGAAACTTTTTTTAAGAGAGAGAAATTCTAAGTAGGATATGAGAGAGAAATATGGAATTAGGTACAAGAGATAAGGTGTAGAGATTTTTTGGTAAAGACAATCCTTTTTTATAGGCTTTGAACAAGATTAGGGTTTTTTAGGGTTTTCATTGGCTTGTTTGTTCTTATGAGATTGAATATGAACCATTGATCTTGGGTGACTTGTGGGGTGAGAGGTTTGAGTCATCCATTCAATAAATGGGCCATCAACATTATGAAAGGTGCATGAATCATTATCCCCTTTTCCTAATCGTTTTCCCATCAATATAAATTCAACAAATTAAATCTAAACAAAATATTGTGCATACCATAAAATAGCATAAGTCTACTCAATCTTTCTACAAAATCTTTCAAAAGATATATCAAGTCAATATTTAATCAATTTCTTCCAACCATATGGCCACATGCCATATCATCACAAAAATAGAAAAGAGAATAAAGGTGGGGCATGGCACCCAAAGGAGGCACTCATAGGCCCCATCTTCTAGAAATATGGTGGGCCCATATGTACAATAGGCCCCAATGATATTTTTATATATTTAAAATTAATAAAAATATTTTAGAATATTATTTGAATATTTAAACCATTATAAAATCAATATCTTTAATTGTATAAATCCAAAAATTATAAATAAAATATCCAGGGGTTCATAAAAATTCAAATAAAAATTCTAAAATAATTTTCATCATAAAAAAAACACAATTAAATTAATTTAATATGAAAAGGATCCATATGGTTTAGGAATTAAATCAACAATCATGGGGGCACTCCACCTTCAACTATGGACTACATACCACACTTGCTTTATCAGACCGACCCAGTGTTGCTCATGACCCACAGTCCAAGTAGGGACTCATTAGCGGGTCACCAAAGTCTGACAGATGAGCTAAGGGATCGCAATCCCAGCCTGTGGATTTCAGGTCCTCCCTTAGAGACGAGTCAAGGTCACCTAAACTTAATGCCACCATAGCACCTATGGTGCATAGAGGTATCTTTCACACATGCATACGCTTCACCCTAAAAGGTGGATTTCTGATTTTTCCGAACGATCTATCGACATGCATGCCGTGTGATGGCACATAGATGAGGTTTTGGCCCTCGTCTTTGTAGGCCACCATCACACATACGATTCACACAGTCCTTCGGCTCACTCATCTAAGTATATGCTCCAACCTCATTAAGGGATAACCCATTAGAACGTTTCTCGGTTTGTTCGCTATGCCTAGGTAACATGAGTTTCTTCCAACCGACTAGCCTAAATCGTCAAGCACAGTTCGGTATCAGCAAACATCGTTTGCTTAATATGGTCCACGAGGGACCACACTCCCATTGAGTTCATATTATACTATATTATTTCATTTTACAAGCACTCATAAGGCCTTTAAAGGTTACATAGACCTAACATTGCCATCCTTATTGATATCTATGGTGCCTACAGCCTTAGTCTAACATTCTCACTCTTCGTGGAAAGAGAATGTTTCTTGTATGATAGAGTGACATCTTATAGTAGAGAGAGATGCTTACACACTATGACTATTTGTCGTGTTAAGAGATTTACAAGAGCATTTCATCCATTCACTCCCTCAAGTAATGTTTTAACTAATGTTTTTTGGTTTGTCCTCAATCTTAGTAGGAATAAAACTCAAGACTACATATTGTGGCACTTACCACCCGACTACCTAAACCTTGAGTCCATTCTTAACTCCCTCAAGTAATTACCAAACAAGATATATTATTAGGCTCCCAATTTTTTGGGATGTATTATCTTCAACCCATGATCCAACCTCAAAAAAAAGAAAAAAAAATTGTCTAACAAAACAATGCCCTAGGATTGAATGTCTAATGTTTGGATGTTCAAATCTAAGCGTTTAATAACATAAAATCTAATTATCTTTATTTGAAAATAAGCAACTAGTAATTTTTAGGTAGATCCCAAAATTATCCTCTAAATAGTTATTTTTGCTTGAGGGAGTATGTGTATAATTATTAAATAAAACTATAAATAAATAAACAATATTGATAAACAACTTACTCGGATCTGCTTTAAATTACACTAAGGAGTTAAGATTTCATACTAAATTCTATAGCCAAGCCATCCGGTGACAGTCAACCTTGAGAGTTTGGTTTGGTAAGTCTCATTTTTCATCATTCTCTCTCTCTCTCTCTCTC